TCGCTCGCGCGCACGCAACTGGCATGACTACCTCACACAGCACTCCATGTTGCGGTAGGCGTGAAAATGCCAGCGTTTCCGGCAGCGGCAGCGGAGAAAAACTTTGTACAAGCTCGTAAGAGGGCTTCATGATGGATTGAATAGTGGGATGAAGTTTGCGTTTGAATTTGTGTCCTTAAGTTCATCAGGATAAAGTACATGGTGCATCAAGTTCGTAACGTAGAAATCCCGGCCTAAAGTTCGCAAAGATAAACGTTCGTTGATAAAACACTGGTGACGAAGCTGTTCGTGAGCGCAAGTCACAAAAACTGTAATACATAATCATTTTTTGTTGATGTTTGAACGCAAATGATCATCAGGGATAAAGTTCGTTAGGCAAAAGTACCTATGTAATTGCTCGTATCCAGATGCTTAGGGTGAATTCGAATGCAGATCTCCATCTTTGGTGCCGGACGTCGGCTAAATTGACGCTATGGAGTCAATCGCATCCCGTCAACTGATTAAGACCTCTCGACAAATGGAAGCCTCGTAAGTGGTCGAAACACCGCCAGAATACGCAGCCAGAATGTTTGTTGACATGGGCGTTTCCCTGTAGCCTGTAAGGTCACAGGGTCGTTCGGCCCCGTGGCTGGGATATGTCCCACGTCAAGACAGGAGAGGACTTAACATTCGAGCGCATTTGTTTAGGACCTTGCTGAAGACTGGCCACACTCCTCTTTGCTGTTGTTTAAGCTTTTGTTCGCTACCCAGCGTGATGGAGCACATGCTGTTCCGTGGCACGAGATACCTGCCTCGTTTACGACCCAGCGAGCCCTTCCGTTGTATGTGTGGAGTACAGAAGCACTCATTGTATACTCACACGGGCTGCGGTTGTCATACAGCGAGAGGTACAAGAACGTGTGCTAAACGTTACATGCTACGATCGCTGTTTATTGATTTCGCCGTATTTTGATTTAATTGCTGTTTACCAAATTATGTATCGAAAGGTGAGTGGTGGACATGCGTCAGAAATCCTCAAAGTCAGGTACACAAATATTTGTTGCTGTCCTCGTTGCGAATGTGCTGACCAAATCAAATCAGCAATGAATATATCCACCCTGCAATACTCGGCCCGTTGCGAAATGCGGGTGTAATCGATGGTAGGTTTCGACATTATCTCACATGCCATCTATGGAGGGATGCTGCAGTAGCGGGTCATTTTCAGTCGAGACAATTTATCCATATAGTTGTGTAGGCGGCAGCATGGTCCTGAAATTTCATAGCCGAAACTAGCACAAGAACTTCCTGTAAGATACATTCAGAAAGGAAAGGTTGATAATTTCCTTCTGAACATTTTTTTCACCCTAGGCTCAATCACGTACCATGAACTGCACGAAGTTCGGCCATTATACGTCGTACAATGCCGCTGCTGATATCTGAAGAGAAGACAAACTTTAAGAGCGTTTTCAAGTGTAGGTGTTTCACGTGTCAACAGGAAAATTATTGTTTTACGGAAAAAGGCGTAATGAACATGGTGAAGGCAGCAGTGTAAAATGGAGATGGGGACGGGGCTGGGGACGGGGGCGCGCAAAGGGACGGCGAGGATATCGGGGCAAGGACAAAGACGGGAGCGGGACAAAGAAAGGAGGAAGTTTCCCTGTGAAGCGAACGAGTGTCATAGTTGGCTAGATTGGAAACATCGGATCTGACTGTTACAAGCCCCCAAACATCCCCAAAATCGCACCTGGAGAATGATAGCTCATGTGCCAGCACGTCTATTGCTTTGAAAGAAAGCTGAGCATTCCGCATGAACATACATCAAAGAATAGATGCAAATTCCCAAGCATAATGATGGACAAGCGGGAAAAAATAAGAGGGAAGACCTTGAGACCACAGCAGAGCTCGGAGGTGCTACGCATTGCTGCGGCGGGTGGTCGTGGAAGCCGGCCGAAGACGGATATTGGGAAGTGACAGGAGGCCGGTGAGAAGACATGGGTGGGGAAGTGTATGACACAGAACAGGGCGCGGAACGGGTGAACGGATGCGTGCGACGACAGAGATAAAGACTGAGGACTAAAACGGAAACGGATTTTATACCATATACTGTACCACTATACATTATACCATATGCATATATATATATATATATATATATATATATATATATATATATATATATATGCATTCATATGAAGATTGATCATATAAAAGAAGATCATATCATTAAGATTGACTCGGTGTGCTGCTTAAACGGCTCGCCCCCTGCCTCGCCCTCCAGCACGGAGCGTGCCAGGTGGCGTCCCCAATAGTCCGTGCACGCGCCTTATTGTGTCGTGTGGCCGGGCGGGGGCGTGCCCCACACCTGTGTGGGGTCGGGCCGCTCGCTCTCTGAGTGCTCGGGCCGCACTCAGCTGCTGCCGGGATGACAGCACGGACCGGGCCGTCATAACGCAGGGGGCAAGGGTCTAGATGCAGTGCTGGGGCACCGCATGTCTGACACGCGATGCACATGTTTTATGCGACGAGCACGTGCTTGTGCGCGCAGACATGTGTGTGCTACGAATTTCGGGGTCCGAAGTCACACAGTTTCCCCACTGTGTGATCCAGATGTCTGTGCATTCTGAAACCCTCGTCACCGCCATTAACCATGCGAAACGTAATAGTGGATGGTGTGCAAAACTTTGAAACCCCGGCACCTTCGTGCATTGGGGTATGCAGGGTATATCCGCATGAATTTGCACGTGCACACGCGTATGTTCGGCTGACGTCAATTGGTGGGCGAGCCAGGAGCTGCTTCAGCCGACGCGGCTCCCGTCGGTTCCGCGCCGCCGCCTGAGGGAAATACACAGCAGCAGTCGGAACACGACCTGGCGCCGACCACTGACGGAGGCACTCAGGCTCAGCCGTCGTCTGGGGCGTCACGGACCTCCTCCACGCGCCGCCCCACGAGGAGACAACCTTCGTGGCGAGGGTTGTTCTAAGAGGCGGGCAAGACACAGATCGAGAAGGTGGGATACGTCGTTGGAGGTCCAGTGAATCAGGGATGGTTTTTGTTTGTGACTTACAGATACTTCAGTCGTAACTGGCTCACAACGTTGGGGCTTTGTTACGGATAATCAGCAATTGTATTGTAATTATGAGCGATCCTATAACGAATAATCCTTATTTTGTGGTTGTCTTCTTATCAGATCTTGCTGATGAGATAAGGGTTATCTAATGCGCAACATCATCTTGCGTCTTAAGATCCCTATTCTATTGTCACCAACTGGGCGGGCTTCTTTGCCTTCGAAGCGTGTTGGCAGCGAAGCTTTTTGCGAAAGCTCAAGAGAGGAAACGCAACTTCCGGCGAGGACGCTGTGCAAGTCACCCGGCCTGATCAAACGCATCAGGGCAGCGAATCCGCCGCGAGAGCAGCGTCGACTTGCCTTAAAATTTTGAAGGTGAATTTGTTGATAGATAAGACAGCAGTATTGGCCTCATTCCGCCGAGAAAAATCAGAAGAATGGAGATATAGTTGGGTTATTTCGATAAAAGCATGTTTCCGAAATATCAACCCAGCTAGATCTTCATTCTCCTGGTTCTTCTCAGAGGGATAAGGCTAATGCTACTCTCATATCTATGTGAATAATGTTCCTCGCCAATGCACTGAACAACCCACGTAATTGTGAATTTGGTTATTGCTGAGGGACAATTATTATTAAAATGAGCCTGCGAAGTGAGAGCACGGAGAGTAGTAGACGCGAATAGCTCGGACCGCGCTCGTCACTAGATTAGCCCTGTTGCTTTGGCTATTTCTTGTGAGGTTTGCTAATGTGGGATTACAAATTGGGTTCAGTCATTTTGCGCATGCATTCGCCCAGCTTTTTAACATCTGGGAAATGCATGTGGCATATGGCGAGCTAAAGCTTCCAAATTATTTTTGCCCATTTAGTTCCACTTCAAATGAAGGTGAGGATTAAGGTTTAAAGAGAGTCTTCCACATGTGTTTGGCGTTTTGAGCTGAAATGGTCATCTTAAAGATCATTCGGCGCAGTGCACACCCTTGAGGGTTTATACCTTCTTAATGTATAAACCCTCAAGATGCTGAGCTGAACGCCCGCAAATCTGCGCAACTTTTTCGGGGACGTTATTTCAAGGTCACTAAGGCACCTATCACACCATAATAGCGCCATTCAAATCCTGTCATTCCATTGGTCATTCGGCGATCAAGGCCAATAAAAATATGATGATCGAGTCGTTCCCACCTGGCGCTCGTGGGAACCATCTACAGATACAACGGCCGTCAACAGGCTCTCAATCAATGTTGCACAGGGTACGAGGACGTAATCAATGACGTGCTGAGAAGCACATCTACTACACAGAGAATCTGTGTTGTATAGAGCAGCCTTTTCCGCTCAAAAGTATACCAATAGCCATAAGTGAGCTCATTTCAACATATTTGATGCCTGCTCCAATATCTTCAAATGCACACCGTCGCCACCTACGCCCGTACTGCCCTGCGCAAACATATTTAATGACTAATTTTCAAGCATAAGTTATGAATCCCTTTCGAACATTGGCGGATACTTCCCTGTATAGCAAAGCTACAACCACACCCCGTGCCAAATAAAAAACGGCGATTGCTTACCACCCATTGATTTTCCACCAAATGTGATTGATCATAAAAAAGTGCAACCCACCGTTCGTCAACGATATGACGCAAAGTGAAATCGCGATGCGTTGAGCCCTCTGCTCCTTGACGCTATTCATTGTCATTCCAACCCACACTCTAAAATGATTCGCATGCCGCTTTGCAATTAGGGAGCTCCTTTCGGCATAAATGCCCGCTAATGGAACGGATTCAGGGGCCGAGGGACCAGTTGTTAGCGAAATCATTACATCCGCGCCATAGAGCGCTAACGCCGGACCGTTTTCGTGAAAAGGAACAGGCATTGAAATCTCACGCGCCCGAAATTCGCACCTGCGTTCTGACCGCATGCCAGTGTTCGATATGCATGTATTAAGAAAGTGAACAGCGCTAGTGAGTTTCAAATGATATATTTTTGGAATGAGGCCGGAGAAAATGGACAAGCGGTAGCGACATTCGTCCTTCTGAAGAACTACGACAAACATTACATGAACAGTCACACAGTGAAACTGGAGCTCCTTTCAGCCATGTGGCACACGCTGACAAAATATTTCATATCAAATGTTTCGTATGAGTTTAATGTCCGAGTAGATGAACGAAAAACGATGAATGGCCTATGATTTCTACGCTTTTCTCAATGAATTGGATGAACGCGTGCGCAGGAAACCGATCTAAAACCCACCCACACGGACAGACAACACAGAATCACGCATACCGACACGCGCACGCACGCACACGATCTGGTGTTCAAAGAGGCTTGCGAATATGACGAAGATCGAACATGCCACGACAAATCTAACCCACCGCGGTCACGGCAGCGCTCACTCACGCTATTTCGCACGCCGTTTGATCTTTTGAACACTGCTTTCACACACCCGCGCATGCCTGAGCTCCCACGCAACCACGCCCGATCTCCAGTCTCTCTCCCCCTCCGCGCGCCCGCCGCTGTACACCGCCGGCCTCTCCCCACCAGCCGGTCACTCTCCCTATCGGCAGTCGTAGCTGCCGTCGCCGCCTAAAAGACGCGTGGGCGCTTGCTGGGGAACTCCATGCCGTCGTCCATGGGGCGACCGGGGCGGCCAGGGCCGCCGCCGCCGCGCGGAGTGCCGCGGAAGCCGCCGCGGCCGCCACGGTAGCCAGGTGGCGGCACGCCGCGACCGCGCGGGCTGAACCCGCCCATGTCCATGCCGGCCACCTGCGGACGGGGGCGCCGTCAGTGGTGAGTGGATGCACGCGCCGCCGGCCGAGCGCGCAGGACAACGGCCTCCTCCTGGTCACTGGGTTTTGACGACGCAACAGCAGCGCATACAATTATGCATCCAGCCGACAAGGTTGTGGACATACTAAGACATTAGGCTAGGGCCATAACAATTCGAACAATCATCCCATTCGTACCGCCAGCAGTGCTGTTTTGGAATGATCGCTTTGCCGGAGTTTCCACCCTACAAACATTTTTGACAACACTGAGTCATTTCTCAGGAGACAATACAACCTAAACAACGGAAAACGCACCAAAAGCTGACCTTTCCTATAGTAAACCGATACATAATCGCGTGGATGGACACCTAACTCACGACATATACGCGCAAACAGGGCGTGCGAACAACTAAGCCCATTCCAACCACACACACAATACTGATAGCCCGACCTCTGGGACATCTGGTTAGCATGTGCAGCCGAGCTGGCCAGACCCATCGAGAGTGGCGACAGCGTAGTGGTTAAGCTGCACGTCTGGGAAACCAGATGTACGGGGTTCGATTCCCGCCACGTCCGCCCTTCCAATCAGGGTGACAGGCAGGCGACAACACACAGCCTCAGCGGCAGAGCGCACCGTAAATCTCCAATGACACCCGGACTAGATTCAGTGGCCGTGATAGCTTGCTTCATTGGTTAATAAGCCCTAATGAAGACTGAATAACTGCATTGGCTACAAAACTGAAGTCAGTACCAGCTGCATCCTCTGCTCCTTCCGCCTGTTGTTGCTTTATGGTGTTTTAGGGCGCGTCGACTGCAATGGCCATTTGCTGTTTACACAGAGCCTCACCTGTGCCGCGCCGCGTCCACCACGACCCCCACGACCGCCCATGCCCGGAGGTGGCACGCCTGTCGGCAGGCGAATACGATTCAGCTTGAGCAAGCGACCGGCAGGGTGGCGTCGCGATGGCGCGGCGCCTGACAGCGCGCCATGGCAGGAGGGTCCGAGTGGGCGCATGTGACCGACGCAGCTGCCACACGGCACCGGAAGGGACCAACACACAATGTCACGTTCGCCGGCCAATGACGGGTCATATCACAGGCACCGCGCGCGCCGCGGCGCGCCACGCTGGATGCCCCGGGGCACAGCCGTGCAGCGCACCTCGGCGTCGGACCCACCGTGCGGGCTGAAGCCGGCGTCTTGGCCACCCCAGACATCACCGTAGCCGGTATCTGGCACGGCCGGCGGCGCCGCGCTGCCGTCATCCCAGATCGCCTGCTCCTGCTGGTCCAGCAGACTGCTCAGCTCGTTGGCCTGCAACAGCCAATACCAACATCAGGATCCGAAGAGGGAGACAGAAAGCTACCCCCTCATCCATGAAGCACTTCTGAGATGCCTTTGCGACATTATTCAGCCCGCCCCAGCATGTAAATGGCAGACAGGCGAATCAGAAATATTTAGGGGGGGGGGGTAGAGGAAGAAACCATAAATGCCAACAAATGAGTGACCCACATGGAATAGCACTAACTCACACCCGAATTGCGTTACGGCTCACGGTCGCCTGCTGGCAGCACTGCACTGGGACTTAAGACGCACTAAGCTGCTGAGGTCATATGGCGTCGCCTGCTTCTCTCCCTGGTTGAAGTGAAAGGGCGGACACCGCCGGGAATCAAACTCCATACCTCTTGGTTTCCCATTCAGTGGTTAACCCAGACCCACCCACCACTGCGCTATCGGCACCTTGCGATGGCAACAATGCATCGCAAAACACATTTATCCAGCACTGTGCTGGAGAGGTTGAAAAACATCAGCGAAAAGGCGCGCACGCCACAAACGCATGCACACAAGTAAAACCAAAAGTGACCCTCATCCGTGCTTATCGTTCAGCGAGAACAGGGTTGCCACACTGAACACAATAAACTTAAAGTCAGCTGGCGTCCTATGCACATATGGATGACCTGGCATAAAATTCCCACCCATTACCCAGTCTGCAGAAATGCCTTCAATTCCACATTAGCAGCACAACACACTCAAAGGAGACAAGCACACAGTCAATCAACACCAAGCTGTCGTTTTGAGTCGCCCGGCTTACAGCGTTGATGTCAGTGATCGACAGTGAGAACGACACCGAGCCCGACCTGGCCTCCGACCAGCACCGCCCGATGCTCACCTGCATGAACAGTTGGTTCTCTTGCTGGCGTCGCTTCAGATCCTCCTCCGACTGGCGCATACGCGACTGCATGGTCTCCTGGCGGCGCTGCATTTCCTCCTCGAGGCGACGACGCTCCTCCTCACGTTGCTGCTGACGCACGTCCCAGTCGCCCTTGGAGCGCTCCTGCTCCATCTCACGGCGCCGCAGCTGCTCGCGCAGCATCTCCGTCTCGTGCTCGCGGCGCGCGAACTCCATCTGGTCGCGCAGCTTATCCATCTCCATCTTGATCTCCTGCTCCAGCTGCTCGCGACGCTGCTTCTCCATCTCGTACAGCTGCTTCCAGCGGTTGCCGTACTCCATCTCGAACGAGCCGGGCATGGCCAGCCGGGGGCCGTTCTGGAGCAGGAGGATACGGCGGGGAATGACAGGATTCTGTTGTGCCGGGACGCTACTTCGTGGCGATCCGCAGGTGGCGGAAATGCTACGTGAGGATCGTCACGGAGTAATGCCATTTCACTAAGTAGTGCTGAGCTGTTACCACTGCTTTGTAAAGGGGAGTGCTTAAAGGCAAAGATGATTTTGTATCGATACAGGCGACACGACTCTAGACAAATGACAATCTGATCAATTCACACACAGCTGTCCCCAGATACCTGAACAACACTTGCACATGAAAGCACTATGGAATTTCTTGGGGCACCAAAGCATCCCATTTTTCTAGAAAGTACACCTGCCTCCGGCCGAGCCGGGGTCACGTCGCGATTGTTATGATGACAATGGAACACTGACCAGCATGCCAGGGGCTGCCACCACTCACCGAACGTTCGCGCATGTACTCGTGGTGTTTCTTGGGCAGCACATTCTCGCACAGTCCCTCCTCGACGTCGTCCTCATTCAGAGGCTCCACCTCCACTGGGCACAGAGACCTAAGGTAGACCGACATATCATTACAAACAGACACTAGACCCGGCCTGCTACGCTATACTATGAATCAATAGCAAATCACATCCTGACGGACAAGTGAAATGCTTGGGACTAGGCACACTATCACCTGTAAATTACAACTCTCCATGCACTGTGCACTGTGCTCTGTGCTCAGGCCTCTGTGCCCCAAGGATGTAAAGCCTCCACCGGGCACAGAGACCTGAGGTAGACCGACATATCACTACAAACAAGTACCAGACCCGGCCTGCTGCACTCCACTATGGATCAATAATGAATCAAATCCTGACAGACAAGTAAAATGTTCGGGACTAGGGTATATATTTTGACAGAACAAACATCAGTTTAGAGCCAACAGTCAACCTCAACCAGAAACTCACTCAGTCAAGAAAAAGCTACTCTCTGCACACTTCTTGAGACAGTAGAGTGCACACGGCTTCTTGGCAAACTCCACAATGCCATTGCCCGTAGATTTTCCGCGCTCGTCCACCACCACTGTTGCTCTCTCCAGCTGGAACACGATCTCAAATCAACAACCTAACAGCAGGTTTCAACACATAAAAGGTAGCCACTATACATAGTTATTTACTGCTAACCCCATCTGCACATGGCTGCAACAGGGAAGGACTAAAGTCAACAATCATTGAAAAGGTGGGATGTTTATTCTGATTTCAGAACTTTTCGTCTCATGGCTACAATTAACATGTCCTGTAGAATCCACAAAAAGCCCACAGACCAAGCATGAGTTGTCAATACATTACCTTTTACGCATATCTTTGAGGATTGGAGAAACTCAAACAAAGTAGACTTGAACCCCTTACCAGCAGTCGGACCAATTACCACGCGCGTGACGACAGGCAGCGACGTCAGGGATGGGCTCACCTCGCCGAACACGGAGAAGGCCAGCTCGAGCAGCTCGTTGCTGACCCAGGGCGAAAGCCGCTTCACCTTGAGGCTGCAGCCCATGGCCGAGAAGCGCACCTTCAGCATGCGGCCATTACGCATCGTGCCGTTCAGCGCCTGGCGCGCCTTCTCCGCGTTTTCCCTGTAGTCCTGCGACGCATCGGCAGCACGGTGTGCACGCTGGACGCTATCATCCCACAGTCACTTACCAGCAAGCTATGATGATCCCCAGAACACATAACTGTGCCAAATAATGTGGAGTCAATTGTTTGACAAAATGACACAAACAATAACATTTCTCAGAACAGTCACCAAGCACAAACAGATTAAATTTTAGTTTAATTTCTTTTACTTGGTTCCAAATTTCAGTCATATTCAGTGTAGAAATTGCCCTGCCATACATCATTAAATGGTAATTCTTACCAGTTTGACAAACCCAAATGCCTTCTCCAGGTTGATATATGGCTCGGCAATCTCGCCAAACACAGAGAACATTTCCTGAAACTCTTCCATAGTAGTGTCATCTGTGAGGTTACCGACGAACAAGCGGCACTTGTTTGTGAACTTCTTGGGTTCCTTGTTGTCATTTACAGGAAGATCAAAGCTGGGTCCAGCAATCATCTGAAGTTTGTCATTCAGGCGATCCTGAAAGACAACATAGTTATAAACCAGGCCCCACTGTAAGTACACACATTCTGTTCAGACTACTCTGACCTCAGAGTGCAAAATTATAATCCCATACATACATACATACATATATATATATATATATATATATATATATATATATATATATATATATATATACATATATACACATATATATCACATCAACAAAGCAAACAAATCTTCACACCCATTTTCTTGGCATAACAATTCTGCCGCACTTGCAAAGACACATTTTAACTAATGGTCCTGGTGAACATATTTTGCTATAATTATGACACCAAAGGACAAATGTGGTTAAGCAAGGCAGTTCTCTTATTTACATTTATCCTAGATTGTACACCCCAATAACAAACCAAGTAATGGAACCTATGAGAAGACCACTGCTTGGTAACTACATGGAGACATGCTGCATTCTTTCATGGTTCAGTGGCATCTTTCTTTGATCAGACCTCTCTATGTGTGACTGGGGTTCCATGACACACTCAACTATTGAGGCCATATAGTGGCTCATTTTCACGTGATGCTGGTTATGCAAAGAATTGGACCTAGTATGGAGCTAGGAGTGATGAACAAAAAGCATAGCACAGCATTTTGTTTGCTCTGGGCTTTATGAATGTGAGGTACTGATGAGCACATAGCACCTTTTCCTTGTTTTAGGAGACAGAACTAGTGATCAGAACTAGTGATCAGTCATCAGCCCAATGGAATAAAGGGCCACTTCCAGATATCCTGGTCTCATGGCCCAAAGCCCCTGGATCCCCACACCTTTTCTAGCTAATTTCAGTTAGGCATGACTTGTTTTACCATTTACCTCTTCACCTGCATCAACAATGCTTGTCACCTTAGCATGGCAATGCTCCTGAAGTTGTCAGCATCTGACAAACAAAACTAAGCTTGCTGCATTAGTGGAAACATCTCTGGACACCTACCATGACACACTGCAAGAGATTTTGCTAACATGTCATGTCCAAAGACCTCTAGTACCACTCATACAAGTCTCCAGCCCCTCTTTTCAACTGATTTCCTCCTGCAACCCTTAGAATGTGGATACCAGAAGATTACTCATGTAGTAAGTACTAACACTAATACACTGATGGTCCAGCATCTATCATGCATAGCTCCCAAAATAACCACTCACCTACATCTTTGAATGGTACCCTCAGTGTGCATGGCAGTAAATGACAACTGAGAATGTCATGCAATAACTGATGCTTGCTGTTCTGTGATATTACAGTCTCATGGTGGTGATAATGGTCACTGCACTCTATAGCCCCATGCACTTAAGATGCGGTAGGAAATGTGAGTGAAGAAAAAAAGTTATGGGCAATACATCCTGCAGATGACAAAACATCAATCCTAAGCTGAACATGTCCAGGGTAGGGCATAATACTGCCATTATTATTTCACAATATGCACACAACAAATCTATGAACCAAGTTTTGAACACAGTTACCACCAATTTCAGTACATAGGCAATGCTGAAGGAATTATGATTGCTAAGATAATGACCAGCAAAAATGATCACCAAATGTGCTTTCAGTTGGATAAAAGAACTGCCCAACTTTGAAATCATACAACCCAAATGACATCTTTAGCATGAAAAAATGAGGGGGCACAATTATCATCACTGATTTCATGGTTTTGGCCATTGCTGCTCACGATGCTGTTATGATAGATTGTTTGTCACTCACAAAACTACCATGCGACACTGTTATTATTTCCGCAAGAAGCCAGCAGTTTCATGTATGACATACCGATGGCAGAGGATTAATAAGATGTACTAAAATGGCGAAATAATCATCATGTCCCGGATATGCAAGCACCCTAGAAAAATCGTAATTTTTCACATTTATGCTCACATTTTCTGCTGGTGCAGTTAACTTTCGTACGTATCATAATCCTGATAATTTTGTTGATATATCTGATAACTTACGGTCAATCGCACACCGATCAGAAAGGCGCGTCCCCATTTACCGTATTATTGCTCTTCTTGCACCTCCTATATCATTTCAAGTTGTGGCACTTGAATTCACATTTCCAATGGACAACACATGTAAAGAACCAACAATGTTGCTTGACATAAAGCACTTCCAGAAATCCCAAGGAACTGGACCGAGCCCCGCAAACCGAAAACTGAAGCAAAGCCCACGTTTTCGGTACGTTACATACACGTCAATTGGCGCAGTGCACCTCATACACGAGTCCAGATAATGTGACTCACACTTGTAAGACATAAACACATCGTGCCGACAATGTCGCTTGAGCTACAAAACTTTGGTTCAATGATCATGACTCATCATTGCCGTGAGATGTTGCCATCAAGCCGTGAGGACTAACTGCAGTAACACCCTTTTAGTAGTGCACCTTACGTACAATTTCCGTTGGCGTGAGCTGAAAACCGCTCTGACATCCAACGACATACTCTGCCGTGATAAGATGCCCACAGAGATCTTAAGGAAATAAGCCAAGCCCCGGAAACCAAAGACCGAAGCAGAGCCCACGTTTTCGGTACGGTACATACACGTTTATTGGCGCGGTGCACCTGATGCACGAGTCCGGATAATGTGATTCAAACTTACTAATGTGGGCTTTGCTTCTATCTTTGGTTTCCGGGACTTGGCTCATTTCCTTGGGATTAATGTTGGCATATTATCTCGGCAGTGTATGTCTTTGAAAGTCAGAGCGGTTTCCAAGTCTCACCAGTGTTGGAGAACTTGACGTTTCCTGGTATAATGTATACTGGGATATTTTGTACTTCACGATTGTGACCAGGTAAAATGAAATATTTTGTACTCCATCATGATCTAACAAGAACAACTTTTGGAAAAAACTCATTTTACACCTTTGTGTCAGGACAAAATAATACCAGAAGGTGCAACAGCTTCAGACTTGCTGCTTTCGTCAGCAGCCATGTATTTATATCCACGAGAGCACAAATCTTGCACCCACCAGACTAAGATGGCCAATAGCAAGCAGCCTGTGTTGCCACCTAGATATGTGATAAACCACGCATGGAAATGTAAAAAATAAAGGATGTGAATATTGAATGGAATCGCCTTTGGACAATGTCGGGACGGGACGAGTATAAGCGAGTACCAGAATCACACCAGTCTGTAGATTAACAAAGCTCTCACTTTCTATGCCCTACGCAGATCAACTCAAACTTGAACATGACTTAACCTACCATTGACGACGAACCGCATTAATTGCCAAGGATGCAACGAACATTCGTAGAAACCCGCACACCCGATCGCCTACCGCAGACGGCCGCCTACCCACGCGCCACCACTGTGTCATGACAATGTGTCATGACAAAGAAGAGAATCACTCGCAATTCAGCGTCGGAAACGTCTCAGCTATTCAGCGGCTTGCGCCCGCCTCCCAGCTCAGGTTGGAGGTTGAACATAGCAAAACTCTCCAACTGGTTTCAATGATTCGCCTACTCATGGCTGATTTGTCAAGAGCATAAACCTTCTGCTCGCGCTCATGCCTTGAACAGATTCGTAAACATTTGCAGGGGAGCTGTATAGAGATGGGCATCACGATTATGAAGGACTTATTTGTACTTATCCAGAACTGCCATATGGTTGGATTTTGGCCACCTGGTATCTGGAGTACAAAAATGTTATGGCAGTTGTGGATTTAAACCAACTTAAATTTGTCACTTACAGGTTTAACTTTAAAGCTGGTAATTCGGGCTTTACAAAAATACCCCTTTCAGTCAAAAAACATCACCATAAATAGCCAAAAAACTGTTCACAGACAGCCATCTCACTCTGGCAAAAACATCAGGACACCAGAGTAGCATGAACCCATAACTTTGGCCAGACATATTAAGGAAAAGGCTTTAGTAGAACAAACACATCCAATAATTGCAACATAAATTATCATATTTTGCAATATCGGTTAAAGCGCTTCAAAATCAATTAATACCTTGCATTATCTGCGGGAGTCAGCAGAATGACTGACTAGGATCCTTTTTGGCCGGCCTGCACAGGTCTGCCTGGCATTGCACTTGTGCTGGCTCGGCAAATCGGTTAAGTGCTGTGTGTCCTTATTGTTCAGGAGGGATGTGCAGGGCCTCCTGTTGACTGGGAGTATGAAGGTGGAGGGCACAAATGTTTAGATGTTTTTAAAACCAGTTAGCTGGTGGAGCCTGAGTAGCGTGATCATGGCGGAGTATGAGTAGGTGGCCATCTGTGGCATGTTCATTTGCTTTTTTGTGTAGCCTTTTTGTCTGGCTGTGAGCATTGTACCAACTCTCCATTTCGGAGGGTGTATAAGCTCAGTGTGTAGCCACCCTCTATTTTGGAGTGTTATAAGCCCAATGTGTAATTATCCTCTGTTTTGGAGGGTGTACACACAGAGCCTTTCATAAATTGCAAACCAATGTATATGCACATGTGTTTTACAGTACAGAGTATAAGACTGTGTTATTTCAGTGTGCCATGTTTAATACTGATGCTTCCTTTCACTTAAAGTGCTTTCACATGAATTGCTGTATATGTAAAGTGGCACTTTTGTTTAGTGCCACCCACTGTACTATTAGCTCTCAAAGATACCCTAAATAAAGCTGTAAAGCCCCACTATAGAAAATTTGTACTCCGCTACCAGGGAAACTTTCTGGAATTTCCAACACTGGGTCTCACCAATTGAAATTAAACATCAGGTGTACTACTTTAAGAGGATGCTACTAAAGTCAGCCTGCACAACATGATGGCAACATCTCATGGCAATGCACCAGTCATAATCATTGAACTTAAGTTTTGTAGCCCAACCAACATTGTTTGCATGGCGTGTTTATGTCTTACGAGTGTGAATCACATTATGGGGACTCCTGCATGAGGAGCACTGTGCCAATAACCCCATATGTGCATACTGAAAACACTGGCTTTGCCTGTCTTCAGCTTCCAGGGCTTGGTCCATTTCCTTAGGATTGCTAGAAGTGCTTTAGCTCAACCAGCATTGCTGACTCTTTGCATGCATTGTCCATTTGGAAATGTCAATTCAAGTTCCACAACTTGAAATAATACAGGTGCAGAAAGTGCAATAATATGGTATGCCTTTCCAGTCACGGGGCAATTAGCCGTAGATTATCAAATATACAAACAAAATGATCAAAATTATGGTATGAAAGAAAATTAGGGTCACCAGCAGAAAACTTGAGCATGAATGTGAAAACCATGATCTTTTTCTAGGTTCCTCATGTATCTGTGATTTGGTAATTATTTTGGCTTTTTTAAACATCTTATTAGCTCTCTGCCATCTGCATGATAAAAATGAAATTGCTGGCCTCTTGCCAGAATCATAATATTATTGCATGATAATTTTGTGAGTGATAAGCAATCTATTGTAACAGCATTGTGAGCAGCAATGGCCAAAACCATAAAATCAATGATGATAAGCATGCCCCTCATCAATCTTGGTATCAAGGATGTCATTTGGGTTGTATGACTTCAAAGCTGGGCAATTCTGCTAACATGATGTGCTGCATGTGAAATGCTCTCAGTGGAGATTTCTCTTCTTTTAAAAAAGTGAGCTACTTCCAGGGTACCAAAAATGATTCAGGTTAATTTAAGCTTGAAAACATTTTGGTCCTCAAAAATTAGCTTTCATTGGTAATTCTTTCTTGACATCATCATTTCTTGCATTAATATAGAAACCTCATCATAAAGGTTCTTTATATCTTGTTGGTTTATGGTGTGCATCCTTGGCAACTGACAGCAATGTTAAGACCACATAATGACAGACTACCCCATACACTTTCCTCACTTCATTCAGGTGTTAACAGCATAGAGCACTAAATCTTCTACACAATAATCTTGCCCTTGGTGGCTTACCTCCGGATTTCTGGAAGATCCCATGCCTCCACGACCACCGCGGAATCCTCCGCGGCCCCGAAACTCTCCGCCCCCGCGTCCCCTGTGCTCTCCTCCACCTCGGCCCCTATACTCACCCCCTCCCCCACCCCGGCCTCTGTATTCCCCTCCACCCCCACGACCTCTGAATCCACCACGACCCCTGAAGTCAGGGCCGCCGCCACGACCCCGGCCCTCATATCCTCCGCGACCATAGCCCCTTCCCCTGAACCCTCCGTGATTTGGGCTGCCAGAAGAACCATTGTCACCTCCCATGAGTGGAGGAGGGACTCCATTCGGAGCAGGCGGCGCACCCTCTGCCATTTCTAGTTTGTCCACACAGGATGCCCGAATCCCCGAATTCCCACTGCCAGGCCACCACCGCAACCGCCCGCGACACAGAAATGGACGCCGGTTCGCCCGGAAGCCGAAGACCACGCGATTCGTTTACCGCCGGCTTCAGCGGATCGATGACCGAAGATATTTCAAAATGGCAACACAAAATGTGGTCATAAAATAGTTTTCTGCAACAACTCCGTTTGCACTGCATAAAATGAAATATTTTCTAGTGCATTATGGCTGATAAATATTTTGACACTTCCCTAGCCGATCAGTTTTATGCTTTTTGTAGTACTTATCCAATAATTTGGCTCACGCCTTTATCCCCAGTGTAAGCATCTTGGTCAAGTCAAAACATTGTTACTTATCATTGAAAGTAGTTGATGTAATAATGATTTACTTTAAGTGGCAACATCTAATTATTTTTATAAAAAGCTGTCGAATTTATTCCAAAAACGTACAGTGACGTCAACACACTTACAAAGTGCTTTTGATGTGATATGTGTCAAGCACCACATCCTTGACATACAATAGTGCTTTATGCTTTCAATAGCGTTGAATAAAACGCAATTCATAAATTTCGTGCATAAATGATCAAAAAATCATAATTCTAAGGACTGTTGTTTTCATAAAGAGTGAAAGAATAAATCATGATTGATTTCAGTGATCAAGCATGTGCATGCGCCGTGCAAATGAAAAAAAGAAGGTGAAGGAGTCAGACCAGTGATGTTTAAAAATAATAATATCTAGGAATAATTTTTTTATAAGCATCTGTACCCCTTTCTAAATGTAAAATGATAAACTTTTGTGATGAATACTGTATATATCAATGTGAAATTGCGTTTGTAGCGCAACTGTTACATACTATGACGCCAATTTGCAGACAGGTAACCGAAACTTGATGTTATTCAAAATGAATGCATTAGAATTGCTACTGGAGCCTTTAGAACTTCGCCCATTTTACCACTGATGGTTAAAGCAGACATGCTTCCCTTGAGACTGAGGAGATGCGACTTGTCTCTCCGTTATTCCCTGAAGATACTAAGTCGAGAGGATCATCCATGCAAAAAGCTTATGGCCAATGAGGCTGCGTTACATGAGGTAGAGACTGGATATATGTAAAGGATTTCTGGTTTCCCGCTATATGAGAGAATACTTGATATGTGCCATGAAACGGGATTCGATTTCCCAGAAGAGGTGACCTTAAAACGCAGCGTCGTTCCGCCATGGAGATTACGTAAATGTACGTTGATAAAGTTGACTAACAGGAGCAAGAGAATGCTAGATGAAGTGCAAATTCAATGTGAGTTTAATGATTTGAGAAGCATGTATACAGAATACGAGTTCATATTTACCGATGGAGCAAAAAGTGCAGACTGAGTTGGATGTGCTTTTGTCCACGGTGAAAGACGTCAAAAATTTAAACTTCCTGGACTTTGTTCGATATTTATAGCTGAAGGATTCGCAGTATTACAGGCTCTGAATTATACACATACAAATCGCATCCTCAAATGTGTAATATGCACAGACTCCTTGTCCATTATAACAGCCCTGGGAAATCCGACATCTGAAAACCCGATCGTGATCCATTTACTAGAGACGGTCAATCAGCTTATTGAAATGGGCAGCATAATCATTGTCCTCTGGATCCCAAGCCATAGTAATATACGTGGAAACGAGACAGCGGATGCACAAGCAAAGATGGCTGTAAGATTGAATGACGTGTGTTATTTTCAAATGGGTCCTAAAAATTATATTCCTAAAGTGCGTCGAAGTATTCGTGAATTATTCGACAAATATTGGACAGATTACAAACCTAGGACCAATTTAAAACGCATCAAAGAAGGGGTAGGAGACTGGGTCTCCTGTAAGCGAGCAGTCCGACGCGAAGAGATAGTGCTGTGCCGGCTGAGACTTGGGCATGCTTGTTATACCCACTCATACATGATAGATGGAAACCTCCAGCCTGAATGTGAACGATGTCAGTGTCCATTAACAGTGTATCACATTCTTCTCGAATGTCCCGTATATTTTCACGAAAGACGATCATTGGTAACACTATGTCAACGGTCCGGAGCACAATTTTGTGTGAGGTCGCTGGTAGGAAATCAATTCCCGGACATCATTGATGGAGTGATGAAATATTTGCGACACTGCGACCTACTGAAACAATTGTGAAGTGCTGCCTTTGCGTGCGGGACATGTGCAATTTTTGCTTTGCTGTCATTGATTGCTGCCATGTTGTTTATACTATATTGTAATTGTTTGAAATGAGTTGTTTATTCTATGTATAATTTAAGCTTGCGCGCATATCCGTGTACGATGTCTGACTGGATGCTTGAGAAATGTGAGAAGCAAGGAAGTGGTATAGGAATTATGTGTAGCAAATATGTGTATATGTGTGATACGTGGGCGTGTGCGTAAGCAGAGGAGATTGCATGAATGAGGTTTGAACGAGCATGGTGAAGACAGATGAATGTGCGTGCATGCGTTAGAGTACACGGCATGGCGGATATGTGAAATTTCCATCTGGTAAATGCTTTGGTAAACGGCAATGTTGTGACTGCCGACGACTGACTGATGACTAACCTGCAACGTCTATCATGTGGGGAAGCTGCGGTTAAAAGAAAATGATAAAAAAGAGCCTGGCAAAAAAACCGGACTTTTTGTTCTCTTGTTTTAGTTCACTTATCAGTTTATGTATCTGAACATTTAACACCGAGTTTTCTAGAAACTAACACCGTTTACTGTACCTCCTTGCTACACCACTGTCCTGCACGAAAATTCCTGACCAGTGCGACACATTCCTTCTATCCTCTGTCGCGCTTAGTTACCACCTGTGCTACCAAACTTCTAAGACAACACATCGACGATGGACGCCTGGGCCCAGGAGGCTATGCGCCCTAAACCAACAACAACAAGTAACCGAAACTTATCAAGGGGGCGGAGTTTTTACGATGTGGGTCGAGTGTGGTTGCGGGTGATGCCAAAATCTTTGAAATAAGTTCTCTAGCCTTAAAGCGGAATATAGAAGGTTTCATTGTGATAAGGAACATATAGGTGGCTTATGTTTAAATCTCTAGCTCAGTTACTGAGCAAGGACTCGGTATGTTTATGAGGGTGTTTTTCAACTACCATTTTACTGTTGCTTAGTATTGATGATCTAAACAGAAGTTATGAGTAGACAAAAGCTAATTAAGATGATTTGATGTCTAAAAAGTTACGAACAGCTACGGCGCGAGCCAGAAACTCTTGAAATTGTCCCGCATATCATCTGGCATTTCCCCATCATTCACAAAGGTGATGCAATGTTGTATTTACAGCATGTGTTTAGGGAAAAATTTGTATTGAATCAAAGAAAAACCAGTGGGGTGCATTTAAGTGAAATAAGTTTCATTCCTGGGTGTGTGTTTAGTGTACATCAGTATTTTTTTTTGTTAAAGTTCTTCCACTCATTTGCAGTTATTCTCTGATAATTATTGATGTTATATTCTGTATAAGTTTCATGCTTCATGGGTAATAGATCCCTAAGGTGTTTCTGGAATAATTTGTGAGCACATGTTCCATACTTAGGATACTCAAGTTTACATCTTTTATATCTGTTGTGACACATTTGAAACACCAGACTGTGATGTTTCAAATGTATGGTCTGATTTGTGAAGTCTTTGAAGTGAAATTGTGCTCAAAAGTGATAATTAACAGTCTTTGTTATCAGGAAATGCACCCACAGCAGGTTTTTTGGTCTGTACTTTTTGTCTACATAAACTGTGTGTTGCTAATGCATTAGTGGCTTTTGAAGGCCAGATCATTCAAGATCAAGCTGGCCAAGCCCATTTTTTGTGGACAGGTTTGGTACTTGAAAGGTCAGTACTGTGTACCTTACAGCTTTGGAAGACTTCTCTAACCTCCAGAAATGCAACTTAATTAATTCTTCATATTGCCTAATAAGCCAGTGCAACAAGCACCTTTCACTTTTTGGACCTGATGTGATATACTACTGGGTACATGTATCAGTATTGACTTGTACCAATTTAAAGTGCCAGTACCACTAGTGCCTATTGCCTATTTCAAGAGCTAATCAATAACATTTTCCACACCTGTAACTTGTGCAGTGCTTGACATAACAAGACCAGTCTGTGAATTGCCAATTAGATGCCTTTGATTTTCCCTTGGTTGTGGTTTAATTGTCTGATGCCATCCCTCTGATGAGGTGAAGGTGAAGCAAAGTCACACAGGTCTAATGTTTATTATGTACCTTACCTTTTTACACATGTGTGAACAACTCAAATCTTCAGCACAATATTCAGAGCATGTTTCTACTCCATCCTCCTCAAAGTTTGTATGCAAACCACATCTTATAGCAGGGTCAGCAGTCACAACAAATTTGGCTCAGAGTACTTGACACAATCTTCAAAGTTATCACATTTGTACTGTGTTTCCTATTTTACATCTGCAGAGCTTTCCCTCATAACTGGCAGCAGGCATGGCCCTTGTATGTAATTGTATGTGTCTTACCTGGCAGGGACACTAGCTATGACTGGTGTAGGGGAGCAGCACCCCTTCAGGTAGCAGCTCTGGTAGCAGGTAGAAGGAGGAAGCTGTTCACTTGAGGGCCTAGCGAGTCTGCCAGTATGTGAGATCTACTCCACTTGCACTTTATGGGCAACCACACTTTTTGCATGCTTGGCACAGACAGCAATTTTCATTTTTCACAAATGTATACCTTGGTAGCTACTTGTATACCTTGGTAGCCACTTAACTGTTATGGTGTCATGGTGTTATGGTGCAAAATAACCTTAGCAGCCAGCATGCATCAAAACCCTGATCATAATCATCAACTGTGTGTATGTGGAGCTGTATAAATAATATTTTAATGTTGTGTCATCATTTTTAGCTGCCTTCAAGATACCTACCATGAATTACAGCTACAGAGCAATATTGGTGCACCTGTTCCAGCAAAATACAACTTCTTTGGCTGCCTTTGGTGACTGCCTGCTAGACATATTTGGATACAAAGATATAAATGGATTGGTTGCAATCAAACAAGATATTGAGAATGATGCACTTCTTATCAGGAAGGCTCACTGTAAGTATGGATGTTTAGTTACATGAACCATAATTGCATCTGTGGGTACAAAACGATCACTACAGTTGCTGTACTGTAGAAGGCTGATATTTTTTGGAATTCAGTTGGGATTACAGGTCCTCTATATTTTTATCACAAACTTATTTGTCTTTTGCAAACAGTGCTCAAAAGTAATATATGTTGTCTTTAATATAGGCAAAAAAGGCCAGGAGTTCTTGCCTTTTCAGCATTATGAGTTCAGATGGTTGATGTTGACAGATATCCACCTGCAATGTACCAGAAGGTGCTGGTTAATTGATGCTATCAAGTAAACATTCTGTTTTACCATTCTGTTAAAAAATGTTCTGTTTTGCCTACCCTTGATACAAAGTATTGTTCCATTATGGGATTGACGCTATCACCCACTTATACTTCATAATGCCATTCCACCAGTGCCTCTTTTAATGTTGATATGCATTGCAATTTTATCTCCAAAACTCACAGATTTTAATCTCATTTTTATATCAACTAAGTAAACCTGTATTCACAGGCAATAACATTTAACTAACCACCATCTGTTGCCATTGCTGGCAATCATTAGGTGACTCCATTTCACAGCAGATGCTGGCATAGAACTGAAAAAGGATGGCTGGACAGCTTCTATTCTTCAAGTGAGTGAATGTGTTCTCAGCTGACCTTTGGAGGTTTAGTCTGTTGGATGAAATCCAATGCCTAATGTAATTCTGGATCTATGACATGTGTTATGGAAAGAAAGTAATGAGCTATTTAAGAGATGCAATATATATATATATATATATATATATATATGTGCACATATATGCATATATATGTATGTATATATATATATATATATATATATATATATATATACACATATATGCATATATATATATTATATATGTAATCTATACATACATATGAAGAAAGTCCCTTTATATAACAAATAAAATATAACAAAGAAAGTCTCTGCTCTCCTATTGTAATGCAGCCAATGCTTCCTGGCACCATACTGATGCGACGTCTCCCTCTGCAGCACAACACATGCTGTCCTGTGCTGTACATGACGCCGCGCGTGCGCAGCTCGCTGCCGCCGGATGTGGCCGGCCGCGGCGTCAACGTCGGCATCTGCGTGATAGTCGAGAGCGCCGACCAAGCCGTGCTGCTGTCGTGCCGCGCTGCGCACATGCGCACGTTCGCCGGCGCCTGGGTCCCGCCCGGCGGGCACATCGGTCGGTGACGCCCGTCGCCGGGCTGGCTGGGGTATCGAGAGAAGGTCTCTGCCATATGTTATAGTGGGTGTGGGGGGATGTAGGGTGTAGATCGCGCTTGTGGTTTTATACTTGGGGCTTAGCAGATGTAAAGGTTTACGTACGTTATTACCGAAGCCTATTACGAACTTTTGATAGTCGCTCACATTTTGTGGCCAAGTAAGCCGTTTTCGACGGCTGTTGCCTTTTGTTAATGGCCGATATTGCATTGTGTGCAATATGTTGCTAATATCTTGCCGCTGACGCTGTGTGCAACGTCTTGTGCGAATTTGTTGTTGTTGAACTTGTGTGTAATATCTTGTTGATACTTATGGTTTGTTTCCGGCTCCCCGTCTGATTTCACCGACCGCTCGTTATTACCATCTCTGACACTGACCATTAGCCGTAGGTACCGGCCCAAACCGGGGACTGACGACATTGACCGTTCGCTAGTAGCTTTTCGCATTAGACGCGCGGGTACTAGCCGCCTTTTACCACTCCCTAGTCACCGAGCATCAATCTGATCTGACCTATGTCACGATGTGCTAAAATGCCGGCGTCATTATCGCCACAGTCTCTGACACCAATTGTAGTGGGTCACCGAGACCCAGCTGGCGGTAAGCATCAAACCAGCAGCCCGCTGTTGGAAGGCTGGCGTTTTACCACTGAGCAGCGATGAGCCCTGCCCTGGCCATTGACCTGACCATTGGGATGGCTGTTGACCCGGCCGCCGGCGTGACCGATGACCCGATCGCTACCCAGCCCGACCCCTGACTCCTGACCCGACATGAACTGTCGCGACTTAACCGTCTGTCACGTCTGCCGTCAGAGGCGGGCGAGACGATCACGGCCGCTGGCCTGCGCGAGCTGTTCGAAGAGACGGGCCTGGACCTGCGCAACTCTCACCTGGTCGTGGACACTCTCGGCCTCTGGGAGTCGGTGTACCCGCACCTGCTGAGCGCCGGTGACCCGCGCCGCCACCACCTCGTCGTCTATCTGCACGTGGTGGTGCCCCAGCCGGCCGCCCAAATTCTCACACGTCTCAAGGTAAGCAAAATGTGAGGTAGCGGCCTGATACAACTGGCTGTTGCACATTGAATGCAGGTTTCGTGGCAATTCCATTACTGTGGCCCGGTCCTAGTACCTTGTGTGTGTCAAGCTGCAAATTAAATATATTAACGCTTATATTAACGGCATACAAAGCCAGAGGTAGGGTGGGGAAACTCAAATGCTCGGAATGCGCGATGCTTTGTGATAGGGTTTGATGTCCGGGTCTCACTGCAGCTGGATTCGGAGGAGGTGCAGGCCGCCATGTTCTTGACCAAGGAGTTCGTTTCAAACGTCGTCTCCAGCGACTCGACGCTGCAGCAGGGTCCACCCGAGTCGTATGAAGTACTGGTGGTGGACGAAGAGCAAGGTGGGTGAAATGCTCACTCGTCGTCTCCCAGTGCGGCGCTGTCTTAGCAGCTGCGCTGCACTGTCAGGCACGTGTGTTGTGTCGCTGCTCTAGTTCGCCCTGGCAGCGTGGAAATAGCATGTCGTAACTTGGTCAAAATTTTGTGTAGGTACTGTCAGAAAAAGGCATAATCAGTCTACGAGAAAGGAAAGGTCAATAACAAACAATGGCCATCACTTGGTGCTCATGATTCCATGCAATTTCTGAGGAAACCTCAGTTGCAATTTGTGCTGGTTAGTGGCTTCATTAGATCTCAGCCACCGCCGACTGGTACTGGCGTGTACGTGCGTTCCTGAGATGCTCCGTTTGGTACGACGGAAGACGCTTTGCAAACTTTTGGCATCATATGCGTGCACCATCAACCGAGCATCCATTGGCGAGATCTCATGGTCACTTCTTCGCCAAATGTTTACACACCCTCTCACGATGCGCCACTGACTTGCTCGCCGCTCCTGGTCGCTTGAGATGAGGTAGAGGTATTTCGTTGAGCTCTGACGCCTGCTTGGCCTGCCCGAGCAGAGTCGGGTCAGAGCCTTATGACGATCGACGCCACGTCTGTGTATCAGCGCGCCACCGTCTGCCGTCGCGACGTGGCGTTCAAGTCGGAGCGCGTCACTTTCGGCACCCACTTCGCGCTCGAGCGCTGGCTGGACAAGGCGCGCCGGCGCGCCGGCCTCTCCCAATTGTGACGCCCAGCACTGTGACGTCACACCAGCCGTGGGGGTGGCCGCGGTTGTCCCGCCGTGGGGTCGCTCACTTCCGCGTGGGTGCCGCGCATGTCGTTCACTGGGCGTCACCTGTTGTTATCGTTTATGGTTATCCGTCATGGCTCGTGGCTGGTTAGCCATTGTGGGCATCACAGGCATCTGCCACTAGTGGTATTGTGCATCATGTGTGGCGTGTTACCAACTGTAGGTGTCATCTATGGCTGTTCACCTCGTGCTCTGAACATGCCGGTGATTTTTGTCTTTGACAACACCGTTTGAACTCCGTCTTTTATATCATTAGATGACGCAGCGTTTTGGATGGAAATGATCCATTTCTGAAGGTCGTTGTGGATCGATCGGTTTCGCCAATGTACAACCATTTATCGGGCCTGCTTATCATTGTGCATCATATGGATAATTCATTGAATCATGCTGTGAGTATCCTTAATGGTGGATGTGGTGATCGACCATATTATGGTGCACTGGTTATTGTGTATTAAAAGCGGCATACGTTGTCGTATTATATGGGTTGAACATCACCCCATCAGACCGTAACGTGAGCATTTACGGCCTGCCGCTATCTCATGCGTATAACATATTCCAATTTTAAATGTGCCCTCTGCCAGTAATGTCAATCTCACCTTCTCCCATGTTTTGGGGTTTGTGCATAGGCCACTTTTGTCGCACAGAGGCCACTCTTATCGATCATTAGTCTATGACACTGGCGTTCAGTACAAGCACCTCACCATGGTGGTTTGTGGTGGTGCCGTGGGTATGCCTCCTGCACTGTCGTGGTTGAGTGCCTTTGTCAGCTGCCTGGCTCCCCACCTACTTAGGCGTGCGTCGGCTCGCACCAGGGATCATACGAGGGGAGCACGCCAACCTGGACATGTATTGCGGCTAATTTAGACGGGCGTGCGTGCCCCACCCGTGTGGTCGTGTTTGTTGAAGTACTGTTCAGTTTGTCTGGTAGCCTGGGTTAGCACGCTGAATATGCAGTTCGTGGGCTGCGCCCAGCTGTTTGAATTTTCAGGTAATACATTGGCTGTGATGCCAACCACACGCCACTGGTTTTGCATTATCAAGGCGTCTTTACGTACAGATCCATTTGGTGTAAATCATGCTTTTTTTGCGATGTCTGATACAATATTCTGCATTGCATCACTGGGTTGGATACTCATTACATTGACCACGAATTAAACTTGACCAGTATGTACGCCAAGGCAGCCGTAATAGCCCTCGCAGAAACCTCGGGAGAATTCAGATGCAAATGCGTTGATATTTCGGCACAATGCATTCATGGAAACGCTTCTATTGTTTAGACAAAGGCGTGTTGCTGAAATATAAACGCATCTTTATCTCCTTTGTTTTTTTTTCTCTCCGAGGAATAGGGCTATTACCACTGCCTTATCTATGCGAAGCATATGCGCTCTCGGCATTAATTAAACGTATATGCAAAATTCCTCTGGTTAGAGGTGTAATCCGGCGACAGTTTAAAAAATAAGAGTTTCCCGTGTTCTGAACCAGCCAATGGGACAAACGAGTCCACATCCAAAGTGAATGCGGTATTTGAGGGCACCGGAAGCCTATCGACCTCCGCAGAAGATGACACCAGCCATCCCGACCGATGTGGTAAAACGGCATCCCTGAACATGAGTTAAACAGGATTTTACGATGGCGCTTGATGATATTACTTCGATTTGATTTAATTCAATTTTCTAATTTTACGATTGCGTACGCCCCTGCCCCTGGGTAGGCGGGATGCGCACAGAGAGCATTACCAGGCTCTGAGGCCGTGAACTCAGGCCGCCACAGGCCAGTCGTGAATTTTCATGGTTGTGCATCTCACCCCACACGCCTATGGCGGGACGAAAAGTGCACCCCAAAGCAGGGAACGAATCCGTAAACCGCGGGCTGCTGGCAGTGCGCGCCCCTGAGCTATGGCGGATCTAGGGACTGGACGGGCTACGCCTCCACATTCAAGATGGCCAAAGCTGGACGAAAAGCACATACTTGTACTGTGAAAAGAAAACCTAAGCGATTTCTGTTCCGGTACTTTAGTCATTAAATGCTCCTTACCAGCATTGCTTGGGTAACATGAAGCGAAATTGATGAGCTTTTCAGGGAGGACATTTGAAATAGCCCCTCCCCCCAAAAAACGGTGTCCCCAGGACGGCATCGTGAGTCCACCCTTGCCCCGGCATACATGCATTTTGCATCTCGAGTAACCTCCAAACCTCGAACTGACACGGGCAGAATACAGGAACCCCGCGCAACCAAACCGACCCCACCCTGAGATTGACCACGGCCCTAGAACAGAGAGACCAAGGCCATGTAGTAAGGTATGATCACCCGGGGATTTTTCCGGTACTTTTCCTTCACCATTACAGTGATGTCATAGAGTCGCAGCGTGGCATTACCGCGCCGCCTGCAGTACCTTCGCGTCTGCTACACCGGTGCACCTACTAACGAATGCATCTGGTGATCGTCACAGGGGACTTCAAAAAGTACTATGAGACTTGAAAGGGGATTTTTGTCACACCTGTTGTAGAACAGCGAACATAGGCCTAGGGACCATGAACCCATGTGCCATGCCACTCCCATTTGCTGAGGATGCCAAACATTGAGTCTGGCGATGCATTGAAGTTGGCCAGCCTACAGATGCTTAAACGCAAGTTAGCAAATCTGCCCAAGGTCCAGCCACTGCCAAAGGAAGAACTGAGCGGCAGCAGGATCATCATCCCACCTGTCGCGTTGAACCTCAGCACTATACATAATGACGCGTTGGGTGGCACTAGTGTGCGATTGAGGCAATTTGAGACGACGGAAGTGGTATGCTGCCTGGTAGAACATAGGACATTGTAGACATTGCTCGTTCCGTCAACTATGCCGCGAAGCCTCCGAAGGTCGTGGTGCATGGCGTTAATTAAGATTATATCCATCACGCCATGCAGCCAATTTATCGAACACACGTATGACCCATGATTCGCCGTATTTTACTAAAGCGATTCTTGCGCCCAGCATACACTTCATTGTGCACACCTGGCGAGGACTCAAAATAAACAGGGGGGGGGGGGGGGGGGCGTAGGACACAGCTATAGATTTTTCAGCATACACCGGGAGTTATGCGACATGACACCCATTCTGAAACAACCCAAACGTTTATGTGCGAAATAACCGTCTATGCCTCAGACAGACGCACAAGCATGCAAGACAAAGAAGAAGGCACAACGACGCTCATTTAAGCTCACTTTCGTATGTTCGCATAAGCGTAACGATGTTCACTTCGCGCTCTCCACCTGATGTCGCACCTGTTAAGCTGCGCGCCTGGCAGGAGCTCGCTTAGCCCCAGCCTGATTAAGCCATATGATGTGCAGATGGATGCGCGTCTTCACCAGCTTCCGAGTAATCCGCTTGTCCAGCGCAAAACCTTCTCAGCAGGAGCTTTGTGGGGTGGTCCACGATGCAAATGGCTCGGTTCATGCCTCAGTCCATCACTAGTTGGAACACGATCTCGAAAGCCTCGACAACGCTCGTCCAGGCCGGCAACGGCACCATCATGCCACCCTGTCCAATCATGTATATCCACCTGTCTTGCACACAGCTGGGTGGTGCCTCTCGGGTCGACAGTTCCATACTTGGATCGAGTTGTTTGCACTTGACCGCCACGAAGCCCGCAAGGAAAGCCAGCGCCTCGTGCTCGATGTGTGTCCTCGTCCATCTCGTCGCCGCAGCGGGGGCCATTTTCGGTCCTCTCGCTGTCACCGCCATGGAGCTTGCCTTTGACCGGCTCGTTAAACCCGCCGTTCGCGTCCACTCTGTTCAGGACGGGCATTGGAGACATCGCGGCTGCTTGCTGGTAGGCGGCCCCCACGTCGTCCGTATGCGCTGCCGGTTCCACCACAGGTGGATCTTGGATCTGCGACGCAACGAGACAGTCATTTCCGTGTACCTATGATGCGCATTAGCGCATTAATCAGACCATTTTACAAATCACCAGTTTTGTTTTTCATTACGACAGCAAAACGTCTTGGACCCGGACATGCCCATTCTTTCGTTATCGTATGCTTGTTTTTATGCACAACCACCTTTTGTGGTCCAACGGGACATAATCCGAGCGGGTAGGAGGGACGGTCAACGGCCGACGAGTACTGCAGTGCGTACACCACTCTAATATCTCCCGCTCCTGGCCATAACTACAGATCTGTCTGGATGGACCCGTTTCATGGTCCCATTTCATTGCATCGGCTGCCCCAGGGTGCTGGCGCCGCCATTACTGTTTTTCGACGCAAAAATACACAAGAACAGCACGGTACTCCGGGGCTCGACCCCCCCCCCCCCCCCCGCCTTCATTCGTCTCTGACCGTGAGGTTCAAGGCATATGGTTCAGGCACAGCAGCAGTTTTTCACCACGATATTACCGTATGTGATCCCGGAGTTTGGTGACCTGGCAAATAACCTTTATTTGAAATCTCAGACACTACTATGCACAGTTACACGAAGAGCCCAAAAGTGTTTCAGAGGTAACAAGACTCGCGCAAAGTCGAGTGAACATGTACGGTACGCAGCTGAAATAACTGTTTAAGGCACCAGGGCAAACCAATATTAAAAGCTCATTGATGCGCTAGGTACTGTGCCTATTAACGGTTATGGGGTTTGTTGGTCAGTTCACAGTACGTAGATGTACTGTCAATGGGGCTGGGACTCGCCCGTGGAAACTTACCCTCCCCCCGTTGCAAACCCTGGCTACGTCCCTGACCCTCACCCCCTACGACCGTGCAGCATGGGTGGCTGTGCCACTTGTGTCATGTGTGGTAGTCAGGTCCCACTTTGTTAACAAGATTATGGCCGGAAAATCTCTCTTGAGTCTCGTATTGTAGCCTACAAACTGCACAGAGCGGCATGGATCATACATGCATTAGTGACTGTGAATCGGGTTCCAAGACTTCTGCATAAAACACGGTAATTTTCCTTTTAAGCACACGCATACTCACTTTGGCGTGCCGGCGATGTCCAGTCGCATAGAAGAAACTGTACTTGGTCGAGAGCATGGTTAAACATTAGGTATGAGACTGGTCTTAACCATATGGCCAGGATCATAGTCATAATCTTGAAAATGATCAGACCAGATTTCCGCATTCTCCCCATTTATAGTCTTAGTCCAAGAGCGATGGTGCACTCATATTTTCAGGACAGTTGGATCGTTTTTTGGAAAAGTTAAAAAAACAAAGCGTATTTATTGTGCCGTTTCACACTCTTGCAAGATGCCACCTCGCAGGATGGCATCTTGCTGCCAAAAAACTGACTGATGCTCACTTTTGCCCCACGCCCACGTACGACCTCAAAATTCTCCCATCCGCAATAAAGTGGCAAGCACTGAGGCCACACAACGATACAAACTTGATGCTACACTGCATGATAATCACGATATTACATTTGCTACCTTACATTGGCATTACACGGCCTTGACGAAAATAGACAAGGCCAAGGCCGTGTTATAAGGTATGGTCATCCGGGGATCTTTCACGCACTTTTTCCTCACCATTACAGTGACGTCACAAAGTCGCAGCCTAGCTAGCATCGCCGCCCCACCTCCATTACCTTCGCGTCTGTCACACCGGTATACCTACGACCAAATGCATCTGGTGATTGCCGCAGGGCACTTCAAGAAGTGCGATGAGGAAATATGGAAGAGGGATTTGTTGCTGGTTTATACGACGCTGGGTTTATAACAGCGAACATAGGCCTAGGAACCGGGAGCCCATGTACCATGCCACTCCCACTTGCTGGGGATACCTAACATTGAGTCTATGGCAATGCATTGAAATCGGCCAGCCCACAGCTGCTCAAATCCGGGCTGGCGAACCTGCTCAAGGTCCAGCCACTGCCAAAGGAGGAACTATGCGGCACCAGGATCATCATCCGAACTGTCGCGTTGAACCTTAGCACTATACATAATGACGCGCCGGGTTGCGCGTCTTTGTGACTTTGTGACGCACGCGGTAGTGTGCGATGGAGGCAGTTTGAGACGACGGAAGTGGTATGCTGTCTGGTAGAACATAGGACATTGTGGACATTGCATATTGCGTCAACTGTACTACGAAGCCTTCGAAGGTCGAGGCGCGTAGCGTTTATCAATATCACATCAGCCACACCACCTTGCCAACGCATCGTACACCCCTATGACTTTATACTACGAAGCCTCGGAAGGTCGAGGCGCGTGGCATTCATCAATATCAGATCAGTCACGCCACACTGCCAATTCGTCGTACACACGTATGACTCCTAATTAACCGTCCCTTATTTGAAGCAATTCTTGCGCACAACATGCACTCCACTGTGCACACTTGGCGAATACATAAAGCAAACAGGGGGGCGGATGGAGGGCGGAGAACACAACAATAAACTTTCAGCTTAACTCTAAAAATACGCGACAAGATAACCCGCCCAAAACAACCCAAATGGTTTTCTGCGAAAGAGCCGTCTATGTCTCGGACACACAAGCATACAAACCAAAAAAAGAAGGCACAACGATGCTCATTCAAACTCACCAACGTATGTTCACGTAAGCACAACGATGCTCACATCGTGCTGTCCACGTGCTGTCGCACTTGTTTGGCTGCGCGCCTGGCAGCTGCCCGCTCAGCCCTAGCTTGATTGAGCCATCTGAGGCGGAGATGGATGCGCGTCGTCACCAGCTTCCGTGCGATCCGCTTGTCCAACGCAGAAAACTTTTTCAGCAGAAGCTTAGTGAGACGATCGACAATACCAATGTCTCGGCCCATCACTAGCTGGAAAACGACCTCGAAAGCCTCGACAACGTTCATCCAGGCCGGCGACGGTACCACCAGGCCACCCCGACTAATCGTGCGTATCCAGCTGTCTGGCACACAGCTGGGTGGTGTTTCTCGGGTCGACAATCCCATGCTTGGATCGAGGTGCTTGCACTTGGCTGCCACGAGGCCAGCAACGAATTCCAGCGCCTCGTGCTCGATGTTGACCTCGTCCGTGTCGGCGCCGCAGCGGTGGCCATTTTCGGTTCTTTCCCCGTCACCGCAATGGAGCTTGTGTTCGCCCGACTCGTTGACCCTGTCGTCCTCTTCGAATTCCTCCAGGACGGGCACTGGGGGAATCGCAGCTGCTTGTTGGTAGGCGGCCTCCACGTCGTCCGCATGCGCTGCCGCTTCCACCACAGCTGGATCTTGGATCTGCGACGCAACGAAACGCAGTCATTTCGAAGTACCTGACAGGTGCATTAATCAGACCATATTACATGTCAGTAGTTTTGTTTGCCATTGCGACAACGAAGCGCCTTGGACCCAGACATGTCCATTCTTTTGTTATCGCATCCTTGTTTTTATACACCAACATTTTTGTGTGGACCAGCGTGACATAATCCGAGCACATAAGAGGGACGGTCAACGGCCGACGAGCGCTGCGCTGCGTGCACCGTATCGATATCTACGGCTTATGTTTTGTACGTGACGTTTAAACGTGCGATCAAACAGGGCCAATTGAGGGATGAGGCACAAATAATCATACCGAAATATTGTATGCGGATCCACTCAGCGTTCCGACAGACTCTCCGTGTTCTATGTAGTGAGCTCCGTTCCTTTGCAATAGTACTACTGGAATTCAGTGATATTTTTATCATTATCGGAAACAATGGTAATGCATCCAGATAATGGTCAGCAATGCTACCGGGATCTGGAGATCCTGCAGAGTTTCGTTTGTCAGGTTGTCTGGTTGGTCCAGACGCTGGCCTGTGCTAAAAGCTGTGCCTGGCTCCAGTCGAACGGCGCGGCCTTGCTTGTTGGCAACTACCATTGGAGATGGCGCCATCAGCAGCACTCGTATCCTCCATCGCGCCTCCACCGCGTCAGGTGCCGTGTTGGTGCCGCCAAGAGCACGGGTCTGTGAAAAGCAATTCTCTAAGCAATCCTGATTAAGATGTGATGTCAGGATGTACTCCAAAGCGGGAGTTGTTCGCTGGAGCTCTTCGTACCGGCCGCGGAGCGACGTTATACTCGGCAGTATGCCCTTTTGGAAGGGGAGTAGCGCCACGCGGCCGTCAGGATACATTGGTGTAAACTTTCGCATCCCATACACCAGGTTCTCCATCTCCGCCAGGGCCCCGTCCTGCGCCACGTTTGCTGCCAGCGTGATGCCGTAGCCGCAGCGCTCCGGCTTCGCGTCCTAAGGCGTGCGGCTGTTGTTGGTATCGAACCACCGGGCGATGGTGAGTACTGCCTCGGCCTGCGCCCCACGGCGAGGAAGATAGGTGGCGATGCCGGTCCCCACAGACTGGGAGAACAGCTGCGTCGCCAGGCGTACTCTCTGGGCGCTTTGTCCGGAAGCCTGGGAAGGGCAGTAAATCACTGTCACCGTGCAGCACCGCGAGCCGTGCAGGCGAGCTTCTCGCCCATGGCTGCGACCTCTGTTGCTTCGATATGAAAGAACCAGATACTGGAGGCCATTTTCTTTATGCAGAATTTGTACACTCCCTGGCTCAAAAAATGTGACCGGTAATATTAGGAGTTAGGCTCTCTCGGGTCACGGCTCGCTGCACCGTGACCCAAATGCCGTCGCATGGAGGCATGACATGTTTCGATAAAGGCATGCTGCCGAAATAATAACAGATCTATGTCTCCACTTTCCTACTTTTCTCCGAGGAATAAAGCTATTATTACTGCCTTATCTATGTAAATATGCTCTTCGCACATGCACTGAGCAACTTATGTGATTTCCTTTTTCAGTTCCAATGTGAAAAAATTACTTGTGATCGCAAAAGATACACACCCCGATAATATTCTGTGGATCATTATTGTGGTACCACTCTAAGAACGTGTCAATGGCTTAGGTACGTAAGAAAGCGTCTCGGGTCATATCTCGTGACCCATAAATCAGGGAAAATCAATCTTGTGCCACATGAGTTCTACGCATCAGATAACCCCTATTACCTATTACTAATTTTCAGTGGAATCCGAGATACGATCGTTCCGGTCGTTCTGCGGTTGGTGGGTGACCACGCCGAACTGTGCTTGTGCTCAAAAGCAAAATTCGACATGCATTTTCTGATCTCACCTCACCCGACCGACCTGACCACGGCAGAGCACGCAGATAGTTCAGCTGTGGCTTCTCACCTCAAGGTGGAAGCTTGTCAGCTTCGGACAAATCCTCAGCTCGCCTCCGTCAATAGCCAGCAGCTCGCTGAATGTGGCCCGGTTGAGCAGGGCGTTGCTACCACGTCCGTATGGAGCCAGTAGCCCCCCATCTTCCGCGACGGCATGGCGCCTCATAAGCTTGACAAGGTGAGGGATGTCAGCGAACACCCACACCTTCCTGGAGGAATACATGATAACATTAACGTTGAGCCTGACGCTATAGGTGCGTGGCCACAGCAGGTCTAGCGATTCGAGTACATTCGTACATGTGATTAGATATGGGATCCCTGATATTTCAGCAAAGACCAAACCGGTAATCCTGAGTAATCCGACGACCCCGAGGCAATGCACAGCACTTCGCTTCTTAGATATCAAATTAACATGCTCATAAACAAAACATGTTCCACATTACAGATACGACGAAGGCAAAATGACTTAACACTATCCGCGTTTGTATGAGCTGTCGAGCAATGCGCTGACTGCCTTGGGTGTGTCATAGATGTTGTACAAGATGTGCAGACTACTGACAATTTAGGTGATGTATTTTACTCTAATTTTAAGTGTCAGCCTTGCGGTCAACATATAAGTAAACAGACTGATAGACACACAATGTAAAAAAAAAACAATACGTAAGGTTCCGGGAAAAATTCTCACCGTCCTGGGTCAGCGGGGTTAGTAATTCACGTCTTGTTAGCCGTCACGCCTGCTTTACGCCACATGAGTTCGTTCGGAGTCCCCATGTCGGATACAGCGGCGACCACGTGGAGGCCGAGCGTCTCCAGCACGTTGATGACATCCGTCAGTGTTTCTTGTCATCGGTTCATCGAAACCGTAATACAACGGCCGCTTCCATGACCCACAGAGGGACCGAACCATGACCAGCTGCAGTTTCGAAGCTGACAGCAGCTGGTCGGCAGGGGAGTCGTAGCAGACTCGTCCGTCCAGCGCCATTTCGTCGAACGAAATGACGCAGAGACGCTCGATGTCACTCATGCCCTGGGCGGCCGCCTTCAGAACCGTAACGGCTGCCTCCATCACCCCTGGCGTAACGCGAAAGCGACACGTCCTCCGGGACAGGGTGGGCGAGGGTGGGAGCGGCAGGTGCAGGACGGACTTGACGTATTCGTAGGCTTTGCGGCTCCTGCATCGCAGGCCTGATGCACGAGACAAGTCCCGATTTGTCCACTGCACTCGACGAGAGGTCGTCACACTGGGGAGTTGCTTGCTTGTCAGCACTCCAAGCTTCACCAACCTGTCCAGCGTCGACGTCTTCCCCTCAGCGACCCTCGGACGCCTTTTCATGGAGGGCATTACTCGCCGCCACTTGCGTCTCTTTCGGTCCAGCGTCGCCTGCAGGTGACGAGCCCGGGCTTCCACTGCCTGAAACTTGGTATGTGAGACGACCGCGTCATTGTCAGGCAGTGGGTGGCGAGAAGCCGGGACCACCTCAGTTCCCCAAGTGCTGCCAGAACAGCCAGCTGTGCTGCAAACGGAAGGGATATGTTAGCCTCGTTGAAAAATGGTGCAAGCATATCTTCATTGACACCAGCGCAGTAAACCGACCATTTTACGTGAGGTCGAGGCAAACCCACATTATTAGGTCGAGGCGCAATGCATGACAATGAGCCGAATATTCCTTTTCACAAATATTCCGAAATGTTGGCAACGGTTTTTTGTCGATGACATCAAAAATTGGAGTCTGAGCCGGCTACTCTTTCGTGAGAAAGTTTTAATTTCGAGCGTATTCAGATAAGCTACACTTAAGCTACTTGCTTAAGTAAGCTACTTGCTAGTTACACCCGTTTCGACGGCAAGTAACTGGGAAAATGTCTTTAGGCGCATGCAAGTAGTTTGCACGTATTTTAGGCATCGCCCAGCGTTTGAGGGTTTAATGCATTCAGATATCAATTCGGACGTTTCCAGAACATGACATATATTTATCAGCATAATTTCGGCAGGGGACAGCCCTAATATACGTGTATAGCGATTTTAGGCTAAAACTGAGGTCCATAACTACGCAAGCCCACGATGCATGGTGTAAGATGGCGGAAATACCCACCACCGAGGACACAAACACAATTTAGGCACCCCTAGAACGGTCATGGCCACCAAAGGTTGCCTTTGTTCGTATGACATAAATTGGGCGTGACCAGCACGGTGACACTCGGCAACTGATGTTTTGAAGCTTTACAGAGAGGCTTGTTTACCTATTTCACCATCTACTCACATGCAGCCCCTTGCACTTAACAGCATTCACGCATGCCACACGTGTCCCAGTCGGTCAACAATCAACAGCCACACGCGCTGTGTGCCGCTCATGCGTTCTGACCTGAATGGCACACGTTCAGGGATGTTCTCCTTCCGCGAGCCGAGGACTGAGCGAACCAGCGCCTGCTTGGCTCGATGGCTAAGTCGTTCACTTCTTTTTTCTTGCCTGTTGGATGGGGTACGAATCAGTCAATTTACACAGGGATGAACAAACGATATTAGAGTGCGCCCTAACGCCATAATTTAATGTTTCCATCGGCACCATTTCTGCCGGTTGGCGAGGGTGCCAGTTCCTATAGGCGCCAAAATACACTTTTAGGGTTTCAAGGTAACTCTATGGGGTTGTGGGGTGACTTTTAAGCTTTGACGGTGTGGCATGCCTTCGAGACTAACGGCCTAGAAAACAAAGTAAAGACGGCCGCCCCGACACCCCCCCCCCCCCTGGCTCCACCCCTACTCTTATGTTTGTAGTTCATTTTTTTGTTATAAATGACCACTGCATTCCAAGGGCCCCTTAAACCCATACATCAACACTCTTTTCGGGAGGGGAGGGGGGGCATGACATTCAGACACTGGCGCTATCTTTCAATTGGAACTGGTAGCAGGCAGATGCACACTTTACTGGGCTGATGAACAGTGGACCAAAACCGTGGTCAGTTACATCGCAACCGTTTCTCAGTGGCGGCACTTGCACTGAGGCACTCATGGCACTGACTAATCAAATTTGAAATCCCACCACATAACCATTTAAACGTTTTTCATTACTGCAAACCTATCGCCATAAAAGCTCGTTTCTTACAACGTATTTCAGCACATTTAGTCCCTACCCTCAACTTATTTAGATTGTGTTATTCATGCAACCGTCGAAATGCGTTCCAACTTTTTCATGATTACCATGTATGTTTGTCAGGCCCGTAGCCATACCAAAGTACGAGAAAGTGCACGAGCGCCTCAGTATTAGACGGACTTATATCAATCATGATCCATTTGTTCCAAGCTGGCACAATTATACTTTCCAATTATTTTTCAAATCGTTAACGACCACAGCACAAGGAGGGGGCTACATGTATTCTCACTGACAACCCCATGCCTAAGCATAGGAGTTAAAAGCAGCGACGCTGGTCGTGTACCCCAGATCTCACGGGATGCAAGGCACCAAGTGCATCCGCCTATCTATGGGTTCGATATCTGGCAATGATACTTAAGGAGCAAAGAAGCATAGCTATCTGCTTCTGCCCATCAGAGCATGGGCATTTTGGGCATGGGCATTCGTTGGCCATTTTGGGGGTAGGTTTCGTCACCATAATTTTGTATGGGGAAGGACACGTCGGTGCGTGTGTGTGTGTGTGTGTGTGTGTGTGTGTGTGTGTGTGTGTGTGGTGTGTGTGGGTGTGT